GGAGGGGGGAAAAGAAACCAGTAACAGAGATACGAAAGCTCTGTCAAAGAAGTAAACCCAGAGAAAGAAAGGGGAGTGGAAGGGAAGAAAAAAACAAGAATGAATCAGAGGAGTGTCTGTGGGGCAGGGTGGGGGTAATGCTACTTATTCTTAATTTGAATTCATACATATATATACACACACACTCTGAAGATGCACCAATGCAAAAATTCAAAGTCACAGTTAGTGAGCAAAAATGAAAATCATTAAAATGTTTCCTTAAAAACTTCAAGTAAATAAATTAATATCTCCTGTTACATTGATTCATCCATTGCATGTGGGTATTCAATAAATGTTAATTGAAGTAAATTAATAACATTTGCTCAGTGGTAATAAAAAATTAATTAACTGTCTGTCTTCCCTGTTACTCGCATTTATTCCCATTGCTTCTGCAATTACTTCTACCCAAACAGAAATTTTCTATTTCCTTGACTTTCAGTATACACTAATATTTTTCCCCAACAATACAGATGAACTTCTAATTTTTGTCCTAATTTTTGTGATCTTTTTCCTGTTGAAAAAAATTATTTTCTCTAAGTTAATGTCAAGAACTATGTATAACATCCCAAATATAGTTTCACAAATTCCTTATTTAATTCCAAAATAGTTTTCTCTGCAGAAGATGTGATACCACTTTTTATGTGTTTCTCCTTTTAGCTTATGTTACTTTATAATACTTTGGGTACAAAGTCAAATAACACCACAAAAGAAGGAATCTGGGGAAATCATTGTTAGCACTCCATCTACAAAAGACGGAAGATGTCAGTAACATTCACCCAAAATTGTGACTCATTTCAGATGTCAGAATTCTGGGTTGAACAGACTGGGTTCTGAAATGTGTGTTTGTCAGATGATTTTCTAATGAGTAACAGATAGTTCCCACTGGGGAATGGAAAAAAATAAAAATATAAACAGATATAGAATTAAAATAACTTTATGAATGGCAGCTTAACTTCTCTATAAAATTCTCTCAGTACAAGCCCAGTGTCTCCAAATGGTTGCTTAATGTAGTACACCACTTAGATTCAAAATGCTATACTTAAAAGTGTCGAGAAATTAAAAAGAGAATCATATACCACTTGGCTGTATACTGTATTCTCCGCATGTTCTTACATTCCAGTAACCTCTATCCAACTTTTTTTTTGTTACTGAATTACTTTGTGCAAAAGCAATTTACATTACATGCTGCCTGACTACGTGTGATAATTTGCACTGATTGTTAATTAATTCTGTAAGCAAATAGCTGCTGTAATCTCTATACTCATCAAGCTTTGTTATCTATCAGCTTTTCCTGAGGATAGAGAAGCTGCAACTAAACAGGCAGGATTCCCTAAATGTGCAAGAAGGTAGTCCTACTTTTTAAAGACTTGCTGAGGGAGAGGTATATCTACAAAGTGATGTTATTTGCAAGGCTTGATTTCTGGTAGGTGACACATCAAGGGATTTAGAGTGAAAAGGGTTTTGCTGATGTGCAGTTCCAGGGGTGAGGAAAGAGAGATAAAAGCTAAGAACAAATTGGAGGAAATACTGAGTAATATAAAGAGACAGGGATAAGAGCAACGTTTTTGGAATCCAAACGGCCTGGGTTCAAATCCCAGCTCTATCATTTACCAACAAGGAAGCTTCAGGCAACTTATCTAAATAAACTTCCTAAGCTTTGGTTTTACTCATTCATCTGTTAACTTGGGGTACCAATTTATACATTTCCCATGTATTCTGGAAGGCTGACAAAAACTGCCTCCTAGTGTCTCTGTGATGCTTAAATAAGGTACATAGTGGTAACACAGAACACTTGACATAAAATGTATAGAATTCTGTGTGTGTGTGTGCGCATGCGCGCACGCACACACACATTTAAGGCAGTGGTTTGGTATTCAAAATGGGTGATTTTAACCCTTGGAGGAAATCTGGCAATATCCACAGACATTTTTGTTTATTGTATCCTGGGGCAATTGGTGTTGCTGGCATCAGGTAGGGAGAGGACTGGGATGTTGTTAAACATTCTATAATTTCCCTGTGACAAAGAATTATCTGGCCCCAAATGTCAGTACTTCTCAGAGAAAGCATAATTTGAATGACTATTTGTGATTATAGGTGGTTAGTCGACACTTTGATATTCAAGCAAGAAAAATATTCTTTTTTTATCATTATCATCATTATCTTAAATCCACGAACCTCTCCTGAGTTAGAATCCAAGAGTTTCTCAATCTGTTGAGCTAATTCTATCAATTCAATATTACATTGTTATTACTGTTATTCAGTTGCTAAGTTGTATCTAACTCTTTGCAACCCCATGGACTGCAGCACACCAGGCTTCCCTGTCCTTCACCATCCCCCCGAGTTTGCTCAAACTCATGTCCATTGAGTCTGTGATGCTATCCAGTAACTAACTCATTCTCTGTCACCTCTCCTCCTCTTGCCATCAATTTTTCCCAGCATGACAGTCTTTTACAGTGAGTCAGCTCTTTGCATCAGGTGCCCAAAGTATTGGAGCTTCAGTTTCACTATCAATCCTTCCAATGAATATTCAGAGTTTATTTCTTTTAGGATTGACTGGTTTGGTCTCCTAGCTGTCTAACAGACTCTCGAGAGTCCTCTCTTGAGAGTTGGAAAGTTAAAAATGAGGTTAGAAAGCATACATTCTGCAGTGCTTAGCCTTCTTTCATGGTCCAACTCTCACATCCATATATGATTACTAGAAAAACCATAGCTTTGACTATATGTACCTTTGTAGTCAAAGTGATGTCTCTGGTTTTTAATATGCTGTCTAGGTTGATATTACATTAAATGTGATCAACAATAGATACTTTCCTGAACCCCCGTTTCTGCCAATCCCTTTTAAGGTGAATCAAACTGAATCCAAGAGATTTAAAGCCAAGAGCATAAGAGACAGAAAATAAAAATTAAGCACTGCTGAAAGTCAAGTCTATTTGGAGGCTCAGAAAGAAACAAAAAAGGCTGAAGACAATTGTGTGTGCAATACTGTCAGCTCTCACACCAGTTAGGAGCCTTTGGAGAGCAACTGTTTCATAATTAGCTTCTGAAAATCACTGATGTACCTATCAGTAGCCTGTTCTCTTCTTTTTCCAATCTCAAAAGCAGAAGGTCACTATGGCAGTGGTTCCCAAACTTGTCTGCATGTTGGAATCTTCTGGGGAGCTTCCAAAATCTCTGAGGAACTGTAATCCAATCTGTTAGAGTAGAGGGGGTGCCTGATCTTTAAAATATTTCCAAGTTTTAAAAGATTTCCAAGATGATTCTACTCTGTGGATAGGTCTAGGAACCCCTGTCCTAGCAGGTAGGATCAAATAGAGATTTCCATCTGCTTCAAACTAAGAAGCAACTTCTGAAAGGACCATGAAAATGGAGTTGGCAAGAAGATACTTCTTGCACTGAGCTGCCTAAGCACAGGAAAATTAAACCAGGTTGCCAACTCTTTTATTGATCTCAGTCACTCAGTGAGCATTACTGAATCAGGGACTGGGCTGGCTAGTGATGGAAAAGGAAATTCTCCAGAAATCATCTTCACTATCTCCCAATAGTGCTGCCCGATCCCCAGGACTGGGGCTTGTTTAGGTCTGGAGAAGTCCCTGGGAATCAGTCTGGATGTGTGTTTCACATCTGTTAACCCTTCTCTCCATCTCTGGATCACTTCACTGGTGCAAGTAAGCAATATTTTGCACCACTGCCCTGTCTGGTCTCTCTCTCTAACCTCATTTTGTGGTATGCTTCTGTTGTACGCTCCTCAACGTTTTACTGCATTGCTGATTTGTTAGACATTTCTTTCTTTCTTTTTTTTTTTTGACATTTCTAAAAGCCAGTGACCATACTTCTGTTGTTGTTGTGTTAGTCACTCAGTCATGTCTGACTCTCTGCGACCCCATGGACTGTAGCCCACCAGGCTTCTCTGTCCAAGGAATTCTCCAGGCAAGAATACTGGAGTGGATTGCTATTCCCTTCTCCAAGGGATCTTCTTGACCCAGGGACTGGCCCTGGGTCTCCTGCATTGCAGGCAGATTCTTTACTGTCTGAACCACCAGGGAAGCCCCAGTCAGGCAGCACTGAATCCTCAGGGCCCAGCCCAGTGCTAACACTCTCAGTTATTATGCGGGAATCAGTAGACAAACATAGGAGTTGGGAAACACTCGAAGCATCTAGGTTTTCTCAGTCTTCCTTGTGCCTCTCCAAACCAGAATCTCAAAGACCTTGCTAGATGTTCCCTGCCAGGTTGTTATATGGAAATAAAAGCCTGTTCCCCAAGAAGCACACCCTCAAAGCCACAAAGACTATCACCTTTATAAGGACCTAACAAATGGCAAAGCAGAGAAAAGACTGGCAACTAAAGAGTCTTCAAGGGCAGACACAGAAATGAGCTTATAGGCTGGTTATGTGTGACCCCATTTCTTATACAGGGAAGGAAACCGAGGTCTGTAAAGACACAGAAATGCAATAACTTGATTGAGACCATACACACTATTAAACAGTACTGTCCAGCATTTAAAAATCCTTTTATTGGCCAAAAAGTTTGGTTCAGGTTTCTCAATGAGATGTTAGAGAAAAACCCAAACCAACTTTTGGCTAACCCAATACTACTTCTGAGATCCACAACACATTATGACAATAAGCTGACAACATTTTATGAGATTTTTGTTAATTATAGTGAATGAATGCCTTGCTTCTCCCACCCATTACTACAAAGACCACCATGGAAACTAGTGTTACAAATTACCATGAAATGTGAAAATTGCAATGTGTTTTAAATTTTATAATTATTGCACTTTTATTCTTACATATATTTTCATTCAAAATAATCCTATTCAGTAATGTTTCATACTTTCAAATAATATTTTAATCTTGTAAAAGTCTAGCATGGGAATTTGTCTGCAAACATCCATTTTTAGATCTCTAGGTCATGTCAACTACAGCAGGTCTCTGTATGTGTGTTTTCTTTTTTCATCTAGATGTGCAACTCACAAATGAAAAGCAGGCAGATGAGAAAGCCATTAATGCTATCGTTATAAATTCAGTATCCGAATTCAATATCACAGATGGACCAGCCAAGGAAACCCCCAGTGAGAAAAAACTGTCAGAATCCAGCATATCACTGTCCTCCCTTGAAGAAAGGCAGACGAAATTTTCCTACCTCCAAAATGATACTTCAGTTCATCCGAGAGACACTGATGGTATGTTTCTCACAATCAACCCATCTCTAAATAAAGCTCCCCAACCCCCGGCCCCTGGAAAATCATCACATATGCTGTTGGGGGGGAGGGGGAAACGTCTTTATGAATATTAAACAGGAAGACTTTGATTTGAAAACTCTGGTGAATGACACATGTCAAGGTCACCTTGCAATTACGAGGCGCTTGACAGGTTGTTTGCTCTCAACGGTGGGAGTCTGAGGCAGAGTGTTTTAAATAGCTCGAGTGAGGTATAATCATCCTTGCCGTGGAGCGTTGAAGTAAATTTTAAAAATGGCCAATTTTTTTCTCTTCTTGGATCTGGAACTATTCAACCTTTGAGTCTAGACTGAGAGGACTGAGAGGAGAAGGCAGAGTGGAATAGTATCAAAAAGTTGAAAAAGTGTAAAAATAGACTTCTTTAACTATAAGGATGCTGATATCAGCAGCTTGTGGGAAAAGGTTGGTTCCTCTGGTAACACTATCTCCTAGGCATTTGAATCAGTGTAAAGCTACACCAAACCATCTCGATGTATAACATAAGAGGCATGTTTCATTTGCAAAACCAATTTCAAACTGAGCTGATGTTAAATGATCAGCATAGTCAAGTTCAAAGTAATGGACTTCAGACTAAGACATATGGAATTTTAGTCAGGCTAACTTTGCAGTGACCTTTACAGAAGATGCAAATCATTTAAGAGCTTTATAATATTCCATATTGATATTTGCATTTAAGGAAAACTCAAAGTTTCTCAAAGGAAAACATAACAGGGTATAGTTTCTGGTCTATATTTAAATTCATATTTGCCTTTCAAAATAAGACAAAAAATGAAATGAACTCTGTATAACAGGAACTTTGAAATCACATCAGCTTAATTCCTGACTCAAATTTATTCACTGTATAAAACTGGATAAAGTTTTACCACCTATGAATCTCAGACTTTCAGTTATATAATGGTGCTGGTAACACACCGTACCGTGTTTTGAAGATCAAATGAAATAGCATGGGTAAAACATCCAGGACAAAGTCTATCACATAATAGGTGTCCAACTTTTGCTTTTATTATGATTACGGGTTTAAAAAGTAAGGAAAAGATTTCTAATACGTGTTATATATGATCTTGTGAAAATGCTGTCATGGATGCTTCAGACTAGAAGCTACAGACAGGACCACCTGCAGCTGCCAGGTGATAATGCGAATCATGAAGCCTGGAGGTAAACAATAGGGACTGGTCAGTATCATGGCAAGGTGAAGAGTGCTACCTCTACTCAGCTCCAACTAATTGTTGCCAGAAGGAAAAAGAGGTTCAGAGTCGCCAGACCTAGAATGTTACATGCAACCTCTCAATTTGTAAGTGTTGGCAACACTTATGATGTTGCCAACTTCCTTTATAAAGCCCCAGATACTCACAACAAGATATGGATTTTGGCTAACTTTGGCCTGTAGACTGCCAGGTTATGACCTTGAGTCAAGATGATGTCCATATTTCTGGTTTTGCTAGAGCCTGATGCTAATCAAGAAGACAGGCAATACAACAGAGTTCTCAGCATTGTGACAGTAAGGAATTTTGTCAAATTGTGTCAGGGTTACACAGCTCTTGTAATGATTCCAGAATCAGGAATTCCCGTTATATGTATCCACACACACACACGTACAACAGAACCACTCTGACCTGTCTTATCAGGTATCTTGGCAGGATGAGAAGGACAATGCAGTCAGCATGTTTCCTGAACCCTTGTATTCTCAGGGAAGACTCAAACGACTATTCTATTAAAACAGCAACTCCACTCTGGTGCCTCATGTAGGAAAAAAACAACTATTCACTCTACAAAAGAGCAAAGGAGATTCATGAAGACCACTGAATTACACTGTCTTGTTAAGGCCTGGACCAAGGCTACTCTGGTCCAGGAAATTCCAATATTAAGCTAACAACCTAGGTAATAGTTTACCCTTCATTTCCCTAGTTGTAAAAAAAAAAAAAAATCTCCCTACCAAGGTAAACACTTTTGGTATCTGGTTAAAAGAGAGAGTAAAACATCCAGGCAAGGGCCCACAAACAGTGTGAAGAAACTCTTATTATCCTAGACAGCAAACATCAAGGAACTAAAATAGTTAAATCAGATTCACTTCATTTTAGGAAATTTTGATAGTAATTAATTTAAGGATGCAGAAATTGAGAGCTGGGGGTCATTGTTCATACTGAGATAAATACAGAAATAGCTTTCAGGAACAGCAGGGGAAACAGAAGGGAAAAGAGAAGATTGCATCCACTTTCATGTAGTTTGTGGTTAATTTATTTTCAAATATATAAATGAGTGCATAGGAATGGATGCTTAATTGCTAATATCTATTATTTATATACATTGCCCCACTTAAAACAAGGATGGAGAAGCCTCACACATGCAGATTTTGTAAAATGTGCTACATCCATTAGCACAGTTCATGGTGTGTGCTCTGATGGGAATTTAAGAAGGATCTTTACTGCACATCACACACTATGTGCTGCGACATTATTATTAAATCATGGCTCATCCTGTGTGGTCCCACTCCTGAAGAAAAGGGGAGAAGTCCAGAGCACTATCTGTGCTTCTGCTTCTATGTTCTGACTGTAAAAGCATCCCGGTGGATGATAAAACCAGGGATATACATGCTATGAGAAAACAGGCTTCTTAAAAAGAATCCTGAGAATATACCTAATGGATGTATAATTTTGAATCTGAGGTGTCTCATCCAAGTGGAAGAGGAAGATCATAAATATAAGACACCTCAAAAGAATAGTCTTAATTACACCATGGACTACTGAATAAAATGATTACATTTTCTACACTGTAAATTTCATACAATTAAATGCAATAGTGTCACCTTATAAAATGTTTCAATTTTATAATTATTTCAGTTCATTTGCTCAGAAAAAAACATAAGCACAAATTTACTAAGTATCACCCAAATCTAGTCATTCTAGTTCTAAAGAACTACCTTGAATGTTAGTTGTGCTTGTCTGAACTTAAATAGATCTTGACATATTTAAGTAGCTATTAAAATTGATAAAATCAGGGATGATACCCCAGCTAGCGAAAGGCAGTCACACTTTATCTGTTTCCATTCTGCATTACAGACTTTTTTGAGGAACTTAATGTTGGGGAAATGGGAGCCAATTTTTATACTTTTGAACCAAAAATGTCCAGTAACCAGTTGGAGCCACCATGTCATGAATCTTGTTATTAATGCCAAATTCTCTCAGTGACAGAACATTAACCATAATGTACCAGAATATGGGGTTTGGATGAGGTTCATCTTGTCTTTTGTTTTTGTTTTTAATTTTGTTTTGGGAGAAGAGGATAGGATTTTTTTTTAAAATCTGTATTTTTTTAAACCATGTTCTTGCCACTTTGGAAAATGATTCCCAAAGATGCAGGAGGTATGCTTCTGGAGTTGAGTGTGATAGGGACCATAGAGGGCAGCTACAGCTACCGCTAGTTCCACCCTCCTCCTCATTCCAGACATGGTGGTGGCAAGAACAATGACAGCTAGAAGGGCAAACTCAGAGATGACAGGGTCGTGAATGAGGGACTGACCTCAGGCACACTAGTGGAAATTCCTCTGCACTGTTACCTTCTCCATTGTAACTAAATGTGATCCTAATAAGGCAGATTCTGCCTCTCCTTATCCCCCATATTTATTTTTTTATTTTGTGGCTGTGTGGTGAAGCACGTGGGATCCTAAGTTCCCTGACCAGGAATCAAACCTGTGCCCCCTGCATTGGAAGTGCAGAATCTTAACAACTGGACCATGAGGGGCCCTGCCTCTTTAAAACTGAAGTATGCTTGATTTCCAGGACTGTGTTAGCTTCAAGTATAGACCATAGTGATTCAGTATTTTTGCAGATTATACTCTATTATAGGATATAACAAAATAACAGGTATAATTTCCTGTGCTGTACAGTATATCCTTGCTGCTTACCTATTTTATATACTGTAGTTTGTGTCTGTGAAGCCCATACCCCTAATTGGCCCCCACCTTCTATCTCCCCTTTAGCAACCACATTAAGATATGGTGTACATATACAATGGAATACTGCTGCTGCTGCTGCTAGGTCGCTTCAGTCGTGTCTGACTCTATGCGACCCCACAGACGGTAGCCCACCAGGCTCCCCCGTCCCTGGGATTCTCCAGGCAAGAGTAATGGAGTGGGGTGCCATTGCCTTCTCCACAATGGAATACTACTCAATCATAAAAAGAATGAAGTACTGGCATTTGCAACAACTTGGATGGACCTACAGAGTATTATGCTTATTGAAGTAAGTCAGGCAGAGAAAGACAAACTTTATATGTGGAACCTAAAAGTAATACAAATGAATGTATATACAAAACAGAAACAGATTCTGCCCCTTAAATAGCCAATATTCTAATTACACTTGGAATGGTCCGGAGGCTGCAACCGTCCTTCAGGATCATGAGATTCACAGTCTTCACAGCCTCCATGCGTCCTATGGGCGAACGCAAAGAGGAAATAAAAGCGCCCTAAGAGGGGTTTGTCAGGGCTTCTTGCTCAAAGGCAAATACCACATTCACCTGAATGGCCTGAAAGTCTCAGATCTCCTTTAACCCAGGTTTAAGGAAGGAAGAAGTGAGAAATGAGATGGGTATCCTGACAGAAACACGCAGAGACTATGCTGTGATGTCAGGTAGTTCAATTAAAGGAATTTAATACATGATGAATGTGTTGCAAAGGTATGGAGACAGCTGAAAAGCCAAGTGAGGAAATTAGCAAAAATAGGAAAGCTCTGCCACCTCTTCTTTTGTTCCCTCCGGTCTCCAGTAGATCATCAGCACGGACATTAGCTCCTCGGCAACTAGTAACTATTAGTAGACAAAACAGAAGTAAGTGGCACTAGCAGAAGCCACAGAGAAGGGCATTTGGAAAAAGATAAAACCAAAGAGAAGATTCAAAGCAGAGGGCTTTGTAGCCAGAGGTTAAGGACTTAGGACCTAATTCTAAAGGGAGAGTGAGGTGTTCTCATTTATGATTTTAAATATCACAGGGGCTAATGAATTTGAGGTGGGCTCATGTGGAAGCAGTGTCCTGGACAGGAGGCTGTTTCCAGGGACCTGATGGTGGCTACAGCTAAGACAGTGGACAGAGGCTGACGAGTTTAAAATAGGAATCTGCAAAGGAATCAGTGAAACTCAGGAGAGAACTGGTTGGGGACGGTATGATGAGGAAAAGAAAAATGACAGGAATGAGTTGCAGCTTTGAGGCAATCCATATGTGTGTTCAGGAGCCATTCACAAGATAAAGTTATGGAAGAGACAGGTTTGTGGAATGTGGGAAAGAGGGAGCTCCATGATGCAATGTGGCCCTAGTAAGTGAGAGATGTTCTGAACACAGTGAGGAAGAGATGAGACGCAGGCAGCTGGATGGATGCTGGGCACGATGCCATGATGTTTTAGATGGGTCAAGAGGAGTGCTAATGATAGGCTATGGAACATCAAGTTTATGCAACATTAAAGTCCCAAGGAATACTGCAGGCAAAGGAAAATATACCCATTCAGGAGAATGGAAAGTCCATTTCTCTTTTCAAACAGTTGAGAATTTTCCCCTGAACTGCTTACGCTACTTTTGTGCAAACAAAAATGGACCACATGCAAAACAGTTTCCCCTGATCATGCAGAATTATTTAATACGTCTTTTAGGAACTGTGTGGAACACACTTGAAAGTGGGGGGAAAATCTGTTTTCAATTCATTAATGCTGCCATGTTTTTCTGGGCTAGAGGCTCTGCTTTTATAACCAAATAAAAAGGACTGACTTATAAACAGAAAAAGAATAATGGGCTCTATTCTCAAGTGCAAGATAGAGGCAAGGAAGGAAACAAATGCCAGCTTGACCAAAGGATTAGGTCAATATATATATAGTATTATATATATAATATTATACATAAAATCTATGGTGTACATCAGAAGCAGAGACCTCCAGGGTCTGACAACTTGAGGAGATGTTGGCAAGAGGATTCAAACCAAACAGTTATATACACACAGGAAATTACAAGGCCATTTCACAAACAGGTTTTCACACTCTGATAGGAAATACCATCCCCAGAGGACACCCTGCACCCAACCTGACTTATTTCTAAGCCAAACTTTCAGTCTTGTAATACTTACAAATGACAGGATCTGGTGGGTAAATTATTTTTATATGGTCACAGACCTGAGTAAGTCTCTGATTCTCCAGTCTAAGAGATCAGGGAGAATTTGCTTGGAATATTTTCTCCTGAGATCCTCTTCTTTGCCAGGGGCTGCTAGAGCAGCAGTCTTGGCATTAAAAAAAAGTGATGAGGCTTTATGCCCAAGATCTTTGACCACCAACAGGCCCTCTTCAGAAATGCATACTGAGATTAGAGTCTATGAACGGCACTCACTCACTTCTGAATTTTTGTGGGTGATTTGTAGTGACTTATGAGATATAGGTGAGTTGGCCACATGATAGAAACTGGCTCTGAGGGAATAAAAATATACCCTGTCTGGCGAAGAGATGAGTACACATACCATAGACATATTATGAAATAGGCCACTTAAACTATAAATACTGAGTAATGGCCACAGCACCTGCAACAATATATAGCAATTAAAGTGGTCATAAAAGTTATGGCATGGTTCTTTACCACTCTGTCTTACTGGGAAGAAAGAATCAGAGGGTGAGAGGCTGGGGAGAAGGGCAGAGGGACTGAGGGTTGAGGAAAAGAAAAATGACAGGAATGAGTTGCAGCTTTGAGGCAATCCATATGTGTGTTCAGGAGCCATTCACAAGATAAAGTTATGGAAGAGACAGGTTTGTGGAATGTGGGAAAGAGGGAGCTCAATGATGCAATGTGGCCCTAGTAAGTGAGAGATGTTCTGAACACAGTGAGGAAGAGATGAGATGCAGGCAGCTGGATGGATGCTGGGCACGATGCCATGATGTTTTAGATGGGTCAAGAGGAGTGCTAATGATAGGCTATGGAACATCAAGTTTATGCAACATTAAAGTCCCAAGGAATACTGCAGGCAAAGGAAAATATACCCATTCAGGAGAATGGAAAGTCCATTTCTCTTTTCAAACAGTTGAGAATTTTCCCCTGAACTGCTTACACTACTTTTGTGCAAACAAAAATGGACCACATGCAAAACAGTTTCCCCTGATCATGCAGAATTATTTAATACATCTTTTAGGAACTGTGTGGAACACACTTGAAAGTGGGGGGAAAATCTGTTTTCAATTCATTAATGCTGCCATGTTTCTCTGGGCTAGAGGCTCTGCTTTTATAACCAAATAAAAAGGACTGACTTATAAACAGAAAAAGAATAATGGGCTCTATTCTCAAGTGCAAGATAGAGGCAAGGAAGGAAACAAATGCCAGCTTGACCAAAGGATTAGGTCAATATATATATAGTATTATATATATAATATTATACATAAAATCTATGGTGTACATCAGAAGCAGAGACCTCCAGGGTCTGACAACTTGAGGAGATGTTGGCAAGAGGATTCAAACCAAACAGTTATATACACACAGGAAATTACAAGGCCATTTCACAAACAGGTTTTCACACTCTGATAGGAAATACCATCCCCAGAGGACACCCTGCACCCAACCTGACTTATTTCTAAGCCAAACTTTCAGTCTTGTAATACTTACAAATGACAGGATCTGGTGGGTAAATTATTTTTATATGGTCACAGACCTGAGTAAGTCTCTGATTCTCCAGTCTAAGAGATCAGGGAGAATTTGCTTGGAATATTTTCTCCTGAGATCCTCTTCTTTGCCAGGGGCTGCTAGAGCAGCAGTCTTGGCATTAAAAAAAAGTGATGAGGCTTTATGCCCAAGATCTTTGACCACCAACAGGCCCTCTTCAGAAATGCATACTGAGATTAGAGTCTATGAACGGCACTCACTCACTTCTGAATTTTTGTGGGTGATTTGTAGTGACTTATGAGATATAGGTGAGTTGGCCACATGATAGAAACTGGCTCTGAGGGAATAAAAATATACCCTGTCTGGCGAAGAGATGAGTACACATACCATAGACATATTATGAAATAGGCCACTTAAACTATAAATACTGAGTAATGGCCACAGCACCTGCAACAATATATAGCAATTAAAGTGGTCATAAAAGTTATGGCATGGTTCTTTACCACTCTGTCTTACTGGGAAGAAAGAATCAGAGGGTGAGAGGCTGGGGAGAAGGGCAGAGGGACTGAGGGATGAAGGAAGATTTTTGTTTACCTGTATGCAGAACTCATCTGAGACCTTTATATATATATATATATTTTTTTTTTTAATAAATTAGAATGAGTTTATTTAAAATATTTGTTCCCTTTCAGAGAATTTCCATATTCTCCCTTCTCTTAAAGACTGAGCAGTGTTGTGAAACAGAACAGCAGTTCTGTTATAAATAACAGAAAAAAGTTTTCCATAAGACATTCTTAAGAAGTCAATGAATGGGGACCTAAAAACATTTAGACAGCACTGGCAGATGATGCAGAGAGCAGAATTTGCAGGCTTGTGTAGTCAGTCAACTGAAGTCTGAAAACCAAAGATTACTAACATTCTTAATGGAGGAAAAATAGATTACAAAAGTCTAATAATGTTAACTGATTGATATGCCCATTAGGAGAGGGGAATTTCCCCCAATTCACACTAAAATTAGTTACTTTCAACCATTAGCAGTCTTCAGCATACTGATTTTAATTAATTAGATGATATATTACATGAACACTTACCTACCCTTTTTCAAAACCCTTACAAGTTTTTGAGATTTTCTTAACTAAAAAAAAAAGAGGGGGGGAGGAGGGATGATGAGGTGATGAAGGAAGAGGAGGGAAGTTGTTATTTTTTTAACAGAGGTGCTGCTTCTTCTTCTTATTTCCTTTTTTGTAACCAACCCAAATAATAATAATAATAATAATCCATAACCCATAACAGCTGCTTGGCTAGAATTACCAATTACCTTCAATGCCTTAGAGATACTTTTCATATTTTTACAAGCCTGCATAGCAAACTTCTAAAACAGTTTTCTTACAGAGGATTGATAAGATTTATATCATTTTAGGTGTATATGATGATATATTTCATTTAACTATATAAAATCAAGGCTTTACATAACTGGAGGAAAAATGAGACAGGGCTTAAAAATAATAGACTACCACAAACAACTACGATTATTTAAAAAGTAATTTATGTTAGGTTTTGAAATGTGCTTTTCACTGGCATTGAATATGGGTGTGGCAGATTTACTGGAATCCACATCAAACAAATAAAAAAGCCTTGTGACGAGAAGCCAGAAATGTGGATGGTCTCTCCTTGTCCCCAAATCTAATTGCTCCTGAAAGCTCCCAGCACTTGGAGAGGACTTGCTATTTTTCAGACCACTGCAAGGTTTCAAGAGAGGTAGCTAATTGTGCAGCTTCCCAGCACCTCTATACACAATGTAAATATAGGAGTTTAGAAAAGGGACAGCACTTTAAATAACCAGATTATGTGGAATCAATAGGAAATGCTCAGGAAGTTAATAAAGCAATTACTTAACTAGAGTGAATACTGGACGGGGGTGGGAGCACTTGAGAAAATAACGGTGTACATCACCCCCAATACAGATAAATAATTAAGAGTCGGCTATAAAGTTATCAAGCACACCACTGCACATGCTTGCCCCGCATCTGCGTCCCCAGATGAGCCACATATAATTGTCTTTCTTTCTTCTTTCAACAGAGGACTGCGCCTCCCTTATCCTCACCTGTCTGTTCTGCCAGTTTTTGGATTGTCTTCTGATGCTCCCGGACACGTGTGAAACTGTGTGTATCAGCGTGTGCTGCCCCTCGCACAGGTACCATCACGCCTCAGATGAAAGCCACTCCCGGAATGACTGCAACTGTAACTGGGACATTGACTGCAGCCTTTTTGAATGTCATGAGACCAGTGAGTGTCTGGAGCTGGCCATGGAGATTTCAGAAATCTGTTATCGTTAGTGCCACAAAGGGACCACATTCAGGCAGACCTTTTGGCCCTCAGGGGAAACTTCATGACAATGAGCCTGTGATTTTCATGTGCTGAAATGTAAGGACTGTACACATTTCTTGGATGCTCTAGACCATTTTATTCTGCACCTGTCTGGGAAAAAGCTAGTATTGTCAACTCAATGGTCTTGTTCCAAATTTCCCTACCGCATGGCTCGCTGAAAAATCAGATCTTGATCACATGTGATGAACAAATCTTAAATACTTCTTAAATGCCATAGGTACAAGATGTTTCTTGACTGCAAAATAGCATGCAGAACCATTCTGTGTTATTGCACTCATTGGCTTGCATCATGGATTCAACTTCATTCACAAATTCAGGACAAATTAGTGCATTCTTTTAGAACTGACATACATTAGCTTGTCTTTCCAATGGACTCATGCATAAACATTATGCATTGTTGGTTATTATTAATAATGTATTGTATAACATCATTTTGTAATTAAAAATTTATTTATACAGTCTCTTAAAATTCACTTATATGTACAGTTTAGGTAGGAAAGGGAATTAAATGAATTAGAAACCGTGTTCCTGTAATTACAACAGATGTCTCTAAGACATATCCAGTGAATTTTGAATATGATGTACTTCGAGAGAGTACTGTAATTCTAGGCCATATTATTATATGCTTATGACTATGTCATAACAGGTTATGCATATTCTTAATTTGTTACAGAAAATCCTTTTTTTATTCTAATAAGCAGAAATGGGAATTATGTGCAACTTTCAAGAAAATGACCCCAGATCATCAATTCTTCATTTTCCTCATTTCTGTTTGTCAGGTACAATAAGCAACAGGATATTAAAACAGAACCAGTTCATTTTACTAAATGATCAGTTGTGTAGGAACCCGAAAGAAATACATGTGCAGGTACTTATTCAGCACTGAGTTTCCTAACACAGAATGTGCTTCAGAAACCATATCTTTTTTCTTTTTCTGAAAATTCAAGTGATTCACAATTATATTGAGCACTTCCTCATATTTACAACAAATCTTTTTAAGATGTGGTATAAACTTAGAAAGCGACTTTTGACTCAAACAAATTAAAACAAACAATTCAAACAAATTAAAACAATTTTGGGGGGTTGAAGTCACTTGAATTTTCTTTAGTCTCTGTAGGCATGGCACTGCTCACAAACGTGTTCTTAAATATTCTAATGGCGCTATCTCACTACCTTCATCAAATGTAAAAAAACACACTTTATCAATAACCAAAGAATACAAAAGTGAAATGAGTCAAGGGAACTTTTATGATCGAGACAAACAACAACAACAACAAATTCCAAAATATCTATCTTTGCCTGACTTTGGCAACTTGGGACAAAAGGCATACTTGGTTTGTGACTGTAGCCAACTAGCACATTTTTCTACTATGCAATAACTTTCTTGAAACACTGAAAACTCTTAATCTTTTGAAAATATTTTAAACTGCCCTTATAAAAAACATTGAACTGTTCTTGTCTTGTTCCTCGTAACCCAGTGTATCTACGGCTACTGCAGACTTCGTCCCTGTTCAATTATCATGTTATCCACAAAGCACAGAGCAAGACAGAACCCAACCTTATGAAACACTGTAGTCTCAATTCTTTCTAGAAGCTTAGAGACAACTGTATGTATAGAACTTGCAGATCTTTAGGATGGAAAAATATATACTATTAAGCAGGGGACCTAAAGTAATTGTTACCCAATATTTTCGTAAGAGAAAAACAGTCCCCCAAGTACTGACTGATCCAAGATCATACAGTGATTTAATGGCAGTGTCAGAAACAAAGCGGTGAGTTCTAATGGCCGTGCATTACCCCAGGATTCTCTACTTCTTAGTTCAGCTCTATGCAGCTCCATACAGGCAGCTGTATACCTGTTCCAGTTGCTCAAATATCAAAATACTACCAGACTGGCTCAGAAACAGTTGCTACTGTGAGCCTCCTTAGGGCTTCTCCCATACTCCTAACCACCTGGCCTCTCTCCGAGCCCCCACCCACCTCCTCACGGTCCAGTCACTCAAGAAAGAACATCTGGACCTGTAGAGAGTCTTTGGGATCCTGTCCCAATAATATAGTATCTCATCTCATTAATCAGGCCATGTCATATAAATGTTAAATATTTTGACTATCATCCCCTTACTCTTTCTAGTCTATATAACCCTCAAATTGGGCAAAGATGATCCATTTTAGAAGTGAACTGAATACTTGTCAATTAAAGACACAAAAATTGTCAGCTCTTATTTTATACTGTGGTCAGAATACTACAAGATCCTTCTGTGGCCTCTCTTTCCATGGTTTGTTAACTTATTCCTCACTTTCAGAATTTGCCATGCTCTAAAAGAAAGGGTCGGTTATACAAAGTGTGAAATTTCTTCTCTTTATCACCAATAATAAAACATCATCCTTTTTGCAAACATGAATGGCTCTTTCAATTGAATTCTTACACAATAAAGCATACACAGCTGGGAAAATGCAATTGCAGAGGTAAGACAGATGAAAAAGGAACATAGTTATTGATTAAATACAAATATCTGAGTCTGAGAAGGTTCAGATTTTTTTTTTCTGCCATGATGAAAGCCTGTGATCACAAATAAAGATAATGTTGTTTTTAAGGTGGGCTTCTTAGGGAAAAGAACATTCTGATTTAAGGACGCACACTAGATAAGAGAGCTCTGAGAACATACAACCTTTATAGGGATTCCAGATTTTTTTTTTTCTACACAATATAACCAGATAAGTACATTGTCTTTGCTCTGCTCAATGGATTTTTATAAAACCATTGCTTCTCTAAAGACCTACAAAATATGGGAAGCCATGAAGAAACGAAGTTACATTTAACTTGATAATGAAATTTTCCCACTACATAAGCTGATAGGCCTACAAAATTAATTATCAATGCTGGACAATCAAAGTTAATAAGGCAAAAGTCACCTCAGTTTTTTCTTTTTTTTTGTCCCAAAGAAATGAGACAACATATTCAGTCAGGGAACCTTCACAAATAGGAAATATCACATGAAGGCATATCAGCATTTTTTCAAGGATAAATGTGTAGGTGGAAATGTCTGAAGGGCAGAATTCATTATCCAATGCCTCTAAATTTCTCCCTTTACAAAACTGAACAAAGTGTATGTATGTATGTATGCATACAGTGTATGTATGTATGTATGTAACAGTACATACACTTAAGTAAGGCACTTTGACTCTAAGGATTTTGCCCATTAAATGTTGTTTCCCAGGTTACACAAACTGATGACCTGTGATAAAATTATAAAATTTAAGTACTTGATTTAATATTTTGTTGGGTGTTCTTCAAAAAGGATATCTGAGTTAAAACCTGAAGAGGAGCCATCAGTTTAGTCGCTCAGTCGTGTCTGACTCTTTGCAACCCCATGAATCGCAGCACGCCATAGAGAGGCTCAATTGATTTGTTTAGAAAGGTAGAGTGAATAGAGCATAATTTTCTAGTGATTATAATCAACACTGGACCAAAACTGTATTACTGGGACTTTCTACATAGGCCTAGACAGCTCGTTACATCACTGTGAAGGATCCCAGAATATGGGAACGGATGAGGGATGGAGGTAAGGACAGGATCTGCATCAGTGCTAGATAAAAGTGCCACTTTCTTGGTCTTTCCTGGTGGTCCAGTGGTTAAGACTCCATCATGCTTCCAATGCAGGGGCTGTGAGTTTGACCTGTGGTCGGGGAACTAAATCCCACATGCCATGTGGTGTGGCCAAAAAAGTAGAAAAAGAAAAAAAAAAGTGGCACCTTCTGGTCTACTATCCTGATATGCTTCATAGCCTGGCTTTTGCTACTGTCTCTAAATCAGTGGTTCTTGGTTAGGGGTGATTTGGCACTCATCTGGCAATGTCTCGAGGCATATTAATATTTGGTTATCACAATGGAAAGAGGAAAGACGCTATTAAGCTTTAGTGATTAAAAGCCAAGAATGCTACACAAACATCCTACAACACACAGGACAACCTCCCAAAGAGCTCTGAAAGCCTTTCTATCAGTCTCAATAAATCATTACCAAATGGACCTTAAAAAACTGTTAGAAACAAACTTGTCAGGTAAATTTAAACTTTAAATTTCCAATAAATAACAGATAATACTTTAGTATAAGCAATGTCCCAAATATTGCACATGACATATTAATACTTATACTATGAAACAATTCCTTGTTTATCTGAAATTCAAATTAAACTGCTTGCCCTATATTTCTATTTGCTAAGTCTAGCAGCCCCAGTGCAACAGACTCCACATTTTCGGAAGGAATTTAGGAAAGTGATGATCCTTCAGCTTCCTCCCAGCTGTCATGAGAGCAAGAGTTGTTGATCTCTTTGGTCAGAAGCCAGGACATTCATTGGGCCACATTTTACAAAGTGGTGTGGTTTAGGTCAGGGAATATGGTTTAAAGATCAGCTCAAGAGCAGCACATTCTCATCTTCCCTGCTGTCTAAGGTTGATGCAGGGCCTCCTTTCTTAGACTAAGCTGGTCATGTCACATCTCTGTTGGCAACTGAGGAAGCACCTTAGCCAGGGCTATCCTGATTTAAGAAGTAGTCAACAGAGGTCTTCACTTAAACCTTGACGTCTACACTGTGTTTTCTGATACAGTCTTAGCTAGAAAGACCTGCCTTGATTAGTGCTTACATCACTAGAAGAGAATCTGTTCCCCATCTAGCTATTTTTCCTATCCATATAGCTCCCTCTGCTGAACTCAACACGGGGAGAAAGGGGTGAGTGGGAGGGTGAGACTGAGGCATTCTTAAACTTGGATTGCAATACCATCTACAACCTTCACCACACGCTCTCAGTACATAGTTAGGAGGAGACCAGAGAGCCTGACAGTGTTCCCTTTACTGCATTATTCTTATTTTACAGATGAGAGAAATATTAAGTAGAAAATATAATATTTAAGTGATTTTTATACATTATCGCTATTCTCTAAACAGCCCTATGGCACAGATTCTACTACCATCTTCATTTTAAACATCCTACAACACACAGGACAACCTCCCAAAGAGCTCTGAAAGCCTTTCTATCAGTCTCAATAAATCATTACCAAATGGACCTTAAAAAACTGTTAGAAACAAACTTGTCAGGTAAATTTAAACTTTAAATTTCCAATAAATAACAGATAATACTTTAGTATAAGCAATGTCCCAAATATTGCACATGACATATTAATACTTATACTATGAAACAATTCCTTGTTTATCTGAAATTCAAATTAAACTGCTTGCCCTATATTTCTATTTGCTAAGTCTAGCAGCCCCAGTGCAACAGACTCCACATTTTCGGAAGGAATTTAGGAAAGTGATGATCCTTCAGCTTCCTCCCAGCTGTCATGAGAGCAAGAGTTGTTGATCTCTTTGGTCAGAAGCCAGGACATTCATTGGGCCACATTTTACAAAGTGGTGTGGTTTAGGTCAGGGAATATGGTTTAAAGATCAGCTCAAGAGCAGCACATTCTCATCTTCCCTGCTGTCTAAGGTTGATGCAGGGCCTCCTTTCTTAGACTAAGCTGGTCATGTCACATCTGTTGGCAACTGAGGAAGCACCTTAGCCAGGGCTATCCTGATTTAAGAAGTAGTCAACAGAGGTCTTCACTTAAACCTTGACGTCTACACTGTGTTTTCTGATACAGTCTTAGCTAGAAAGACCTGCCTTGATTAGTGCTTACATCACTAGAAGAGAATCTGTTCCCCATCTAGCTATTTTTCCTATCCATATAGCTCCCTCTGCTGAACTCAACACGGGGAGAAAGGGGTGAGTGGGAGGGTGAGACTGAGGCATTCTTAAACTTGGATTGCAATACCATCTACAACCTTCACCACACGCTCTCAGTACATAGTTAGGAGGAGACCAGAGAGCCTGACAGTGTTCCCTTTACTGCATTATTCTTATTTTACAGATGAGAGAAATATTAAGTAGAAAATATAATATTTAAGTGATTTTTATACATTATCGCTATTCTCTAAACAGCCCTATGGCACAGATTCTACTACCATCTTCATTTTCCTAGGGAAAACAGACTTAAATAAATTAAGTAACTTGCCCAAGATTCACACCAAATAAGCAATTGTTGCAAGGCTTGAACCACTTGTGTTCATTTCAAGGTTTTCACTTTTTTATCCCTAAGTCTAAAAGTTGTACATATGAAAAATGATTGAATCAAAATAAAGCCCAAGGATCACTTCTAAAGCAAAAGCAATCAGAAAAATATGACACTATTCAAAGAAACCCACTCGCTGATAGTAAATGTTTTCTGAGTTGCTATCCTATGCAATGATGAGAATTTGAAACATCTTCAATATGCTTTTAAGATAGGTACTCTAATAAGTAATAAATGCAAAATGAATGTATAGCAACTTAATCTTTATGTCAGGAGCTCTGCCCCATTCATTTCTGGTTACAAAGGCTTACATTTTAGTGCTCCATTTTAGCAAAGCAATGTTGATCTCTGCCTCCAGAGCTCATCCTGCACACCGGACCCAGACCAATCCCTCATCAGCATTCCATAAGAGCATGAATTGTTTTTAATCAGTCAACAACACTACAGTCAACCAAATGCATTCTGATACTGAGACCTTTTATCTCAAAAGCTATGCAGAAACCAAGGTCACAGTAACCTCTTTTATGGTTTATTGTTCCTCAAATGTACTTAGTGAATTTACAAAGCCACAACTTATTTTGTGGATTCAGAGCTTTCACTACATTCAGCTCTCTCCTACATCATCTTTGTTCCCTCTTTCAGCACTTTCTGCTAAGGGTCTTCATTGAACATCAAGTTCCCGTAAGTATTTTAAAAAATAAAACAAGAATATCGAACAAGATTCTCTCAGCAGCTAAGATAATCATCATTTGTAATTGAGGCTCTTCAGAAAACTGAATGAATGCTTCAGATCACTGCGGTACAGCTTTGCAATTAAGGTGCAGGCAATGGAAGGGGAAGGCAAGAAGGTAGGACCTTGCCAGTGCTGTCACTCTGTCATTGCTACAATCAAACAACTGCTGATGTAGGCAAGGCAGTAAGCCTTGATCTAGCCCAGGGGGTGAGTTTGGAAAACTGCCCTTGGGAGGTGAGGTAGAGTTAGGGTTCTAAATGCTGTAGAAGTGCTTCCACAGACCCACAAACCTCATGAGGTTACCCTCCTAGCTCAAGTTTTTGATGACTCTCACTTAAGCAATAATATGCATAAATTCATGGTCTTGATCTACTAGTAGTATTTTTACAATAATGTATTAACATGTGATTAGAGATATTGAAAATAAAAAAGTGTCTATGTACACAGAGAACAAATGTATGGACACCAAGTGGTGGGACGAATTAGTAAACTGGGATTAACATATATACGCTACTGTTAGTATGCCTAAAATACATAACTAATGAAA